GATGTGGTATTACAAGTCAATCAAATATTATCATGTTTTTATATTTCTCATGTTATATTGCATTATGAAATATCTTATTATAGAATTCTAGATGCATGGAAGTTATTTTCATGCTCGGAGTCTCTTTTTAGCCATTTTCTCACCTGAGATGATATCAAAGAATGACGTGGATCCATCATCCATGCAACAATACATTAATGTGTCGTAGGAGGTCATATCTGTTGTCTATAACATGAGAGATTTTTCCGTGTGACAAGAATATGGTCCAGTACATCAAATGTCATAATATAAGTAATTAGAAACTTGAAGAAAAAAAAAAATATTCTAACCACTTATATTATAACACTTAATATACCAAACCGTATTTTCGACACATTGAAAATTTTCTCTATATATAGAGAATAAGAAATAGAAAAGTGACAGAAATTAATGATGTTGATGCCTCATTTTTGTGTGCTACAGAGAGTCTTTTGCTTGCAAGCAAACACATGAATATCAGAGAGGATTATGGAGGATGGCCAAAAGCGACGTTCCAACTTTTATTAAAACTTAAAAAGCAAGAGGTTTAATAACAAACCAAAAACGTATTCAATATAAAATGTTTATGAAGAAACGTATTAGCCAAGAAACAATGCACGTTTTCTACATTGCTTAAAGTAGCTTTACATAAATAGCAAACAGATAACACAGGAATAAGCTTTGTTGTTGTTTTTTTTTTTTTTTTTTGTAAAGAACTAGATGGTGATTTCGCTATAACAATTTATTTTTGTGATAGTTGGGGAGCATCACAAATGAATTTTAGCCTCTCCTGAGCGCCATTATGTGATTTACCAGTATCAGAAATCGAACTTAAGACGTGTCGTATGAAATATGGGTCTGGAATCATCTCCAACCACAAGACTACCTTTAGTGGTTAAGTATTCAAATTGTTTATTGAGTCCCATAAGTAACTTTTATTGAATCACATGAAAAATTCGTTTTAAAATTTCTTTATGGTAAAACTTCGCGAAAACAATTAAGAAAATTTTGAAAAATGTGGTTGTTGAGTTTTTTAATACACACAGATCTCGAAATTTAACCTCGTTCAACGGTGATAAATGAGGTGGTGAGCAAAAATATTCACAGGGTCAAGTGTCGATTTAGTCCCTGAACTATTACCTAAGTGAAAATTAGGTCCATGAATTATTTTTTTTGGTATAATAAGTCCCTAAATTCATTAAAATTTGCTAATTTCATCTCTACTATTATATTCAAAGCTATTTTATCCAATTTTTATCAACTTAAGTCATTAAACACACTTTAAAATGTAATACCGTCATTTTCTCGCCTATAAGCCCTTAACATTTCATGTGTTCATCACAGTGATCCAGGATCAAAAAGGTATGGAAGATATAATGCTCGTCATTGATTGAATGAACTACTAATGCATACAAATTTATAGTTTGGTTTAAACGCCACAAAAATAGTTTATATAACAATTTTGGTATAAAAAAACCAATTAAAACTTGTGAATAGTTCAATTTTGATTGAAATATGATTACATATTAGGGATTAACGTTGGGATTTTATTTATTCAAAAGGGACAAACAAGGGGTAAGTGCAACTAATCTTTGTTGTATATATGCTCACCTAAAACTAGGGGGGCCTGAGGGCTGAGGGCTGAGGCTGAGAGGGCTACTGTTTCACAGTGGCTTTGGCATATCCAAACTGCCGAATATGTGGTCTGGCATGAAAAGCGACTTCCTCTTTTTAAATTTAGAATGTTATGCTATTTGCTAGCTATCACAATGATTTATAGGGAGTTTTAACGAAACACTCATGATACTATTTATTTATAATAAAAAATCATATTTTTACCATTTTCTGATACTATTCACTAAACCTTTATTTGTCATTTTTCATTAAAACTAAAGTTTTTTTTACTTTTCGTTAGTTTTTCCTTATTTATAAGGATGTATAATGGCTGTGTCCCTCTGTCAAAGGAATTACTTATTCTCTCATTTATGATTAACAATTTTTAACTATAAAAATATCATAATCGAAATCGTTTATCCTCTTTATCATTATCTAAAGATCATATCTGCAAAAGATCTTTCAATTTGAAGATTGTTTAGTCATTCATATGCATAAAACAAACGGACAGTTTATTATGAGAATGCTACTTATTGTTAATAAAACCATTTATTAGGTTACACATATAAATGATTAAACGATCTCTAAGTTGAATAATTTTTACATATATAATTTTTAGATGATAACAAACAAAATGAACAGTTCTGATTATGATGTTCGGACAGTAAAAGTTCGTTAATCACTTATAAAAGGATAAGTAAGTTCCCATGAAGGACACAAGCATTCTCATAAAAGGATTGACTTTTTAGTGTAAAAATGTGGTTTTTCGTTAAAGTGAACAGTACCGGGTGCTTTTCGTTAAAATTCCCTTATCCTAATTATAAATAAACAACGATCGGTTGTTAAAGACAATTAGGCAGGCAAATGTCACTTCATAAGCAAATTAAATACTTTTACCAGAAATTAGGCACCTTAGCTCTCCACTTAATATCTCAAATGCGTTTTACTGCAGTAGTGTAAAATAATTATGTCTATACATTCTGATGCGGATTAAATATTTACCGATCTTTCTTCCACTTAACAATTTAATTCATTAACGCTGTCGTTTGTCAAAAAATATTTTTATATTATTAGATGTAAATTTTTGGATTTTGGGATCTAAGAGTTGTTAAGACTGAATTATATATTGATAAGAAGAGAAATATTATTTGTACTTATAAGTAAATTGAGCTACTCATATTATATTTAGATTATACCTCCCATTTTCTATTCTAAAAGTGAAAAAACCAAACTAAAAAAATAGTGCCGTATCGATTAGTTTATGAAAACTTGACCCTTGAACGATCACCATGCAATGCATGGAGAGAAATGCTACATGCAAGTATGATCGCCATGCTTTGAAGAAAAAAGTATTGAACCCCATGCATGCGGACTTTTTGACCTAATTTAGTCGTAATTCATGATTATGTTGTTCAAAATATGTAAAATAATATCATTATGTGATAGTGTTTTAAGTACATCAAAAAATTCTTTTATATTCCCGAATCACGTCATTTGACCTAAACCCTACATACTTGGAATACTTTGTTTCGCCATGTTGCTAACTTGCTATGAATATATGCTATACGATACAATTGAATCGATGTACATTTTATGCATGAAGGTTATAAGACAATGTGTGTGCTGTAATGTTCTTCACTGGTTCTAGACAAAACCCTCATTTTGTTAGCCACCGTTTGCACTTTGCAATTCAAACTCAAAGTAAGGCAACTCTCTGCTCTCTAACTATATATTTGGTCTTCCTCAACTAATGAGTGGTCCCCATGAAAAGAAAAACCTCACGTGCCCAAAGATGCTTTTCGACTTTTTCTCTCAACAATTTTAATTTTTCAATAGGTGATCACATCATGAACATTACTAAGACGGTACAGTAGTTGGGATAAATTTTCTATCTATATTTCACGTAGTATGTTTTAGGTTTGATTACTGTCGTTGGTATATCATACAATGGTGATAAAAAAAAAATCTAAAATACTTCTATGAGCCTTCTCGTTTTCTGAAAATATGAACTACTGTGACAAAGCTATCAGCTAATCCTCTGTTTACAAAGGGAAAAAAAAAATTATCAAATCATGTTTGCTTCTATTTTCGCATCAAGTCTTAGTTTTTTTGTTAATATTGACTAAGTTAGGAATATTTATATTTATTTGTCCTAATTATAGTTTTATTTTCGAATTTCGATTCCTCGGAGTCTTATGTTTGATTTTTTTAAGTACAAGCAAATTTCTCTTCTTTTTGATATTGTATAAAAGTAACATTATGTTTGGATGAAGGAAATGAATTTGGAATTTGGATAAAGTCAAAATTTGTAAATTAACATGCACAAATTCTCTTGTTTTGATTCATAAACATAGAAATTTAGAATTTCCGCTTGAAAAAAAACTTGGAATTTGGAACCTCCAATTCCCAAGTTTAAATTCCATATACATATGTGTTATTTCTCAATTTCTATGATTGAGAGTTTAAAATTAACAAATTCCGTATTCAATTTCATTGTTCTTTTAGGCTAACCAAACAAGAAAATTAACATATTATAGAAAATAAAATCTCATCAATTCAATTTCCATTATTTTAAAATTTCTTGCTAATCTTAAATTTATTGATCCAAACATAGTGTAAAGGAAGAAAAAAAAAATTAGTGAAGTCTTTCTCAACCTGTTGCAAAACCAAACACCAACTATTCTCAATTTATGCACCAACTATTCTCAATTTATGGAAAATATTTTCATTTAAAAAAAATTATGCAACCATATATTCGATATCCAACAGAATATCTGCATATCTCAATTTGGCAGACATTCTACAATAGAAGCCAACGTGACAATCCAATAATAATTAGCTCGTGAAAATGCAATTAAATAATATTTATTTAGAGAAATAAGTACGTTATATTAGTTAATTAAGACAGTATCTGTCCTTTTGTTCCTGAGTTTAATTTTCCCTCCTTCATATTAGAGTAATTAAAATATCATGTTCGAAAAAGATGTAATGTTGGTTTAGTAACAATGAAAGTAAATAACATAGTCAAACTTGTAACTAATGTTGTTCCTTGTTTTGCATCGCCTGAAAGTTTGACTTGAAATTACTCGTTAAACTTGCATTCGTGACTCATTTCATTACAATATAATTTACATTCTCACGTTAAATTACACAAATAATTTGATACAAAAAACGTAAATGTGAACAAGTTATAAACTCAAATTGTACATATTTAGAATTTACACCTGGTATTTGTAGTCGAAGTTTAACCCGAGTAAAATTTTAACAATGAATTCCCACCTCAGCAAGCTATTCTTGGGAAGATGGCAACTTGGCATAGAAACCATGCCATATTCGTTGCTTATTAAGCTAAAATATTTGGACCTTTTAAATTCCCACAAAAATATAAAAAAAAATTAATTACATAAAAAACAATAAAAATTAAAACTAACACAAAACCACCACAACAACAAGAAGAAGAGGAATAATCACAGAGTTCAAACTTTTTCTGATAACCAAATTTTTCTCTCTGAATTGGAGAAAAGGTCAGACAGAAACCTCTCTCTGTTTACGTTTCTCAATTCTTTAATCTCTCTCTGCATTTATAATTTTGATTAAATTTGTTTGTTGTGCAATCTGTTTATCTCTTGTCAGTTTAATGTTCTTCTTCTGGGTGAAGAGAATGAATTGACAAAAAGTTTTGATTTTGCTTATTGGGTTCGATCGTTTACCTTCCCCAAGCTGTTTGGTTGCCGAGAAAACGGTGGAAACAGGAAGAAAATAAACATTGGGTTGGTCTGTAATTTTGCTGGTTTGGTAGATGGTTTTGTGAAATTGGGTTGATGAAACTAAGCCATGCAGTTGAATTTAGCTCAGTTGAGTGCTGGTTTGAGTTTTCTCATGTCTTAATGAATGAAAAAGTTGGGAATCTAAAGTTTGGTGCTTTTTTAATTTTCTTGCATTTTCTCAGCAGCCAAACAGAGCATAAGTTTCGGCAGTCCGATTTGAATTTATGATCTTGTTAAATTTTTGTCCTTTAATCTTAAACCAAAGGGTTTCTGCAAGTTTTTCAATTTTTTGACTGTTGGGCTGTTTAGAAGATGCAGATCAGATAAAAATTGAATTTTTAAATCTGTTTTATTTTTGTTCTTATTTGTTTGAGATTCTCTGAATATGGATGTTCCTTCAATTGTATTACGTTGTTTGGAATCGTTTGATTGCCCTTGATCCTCACTCTTCCTTATGAGATGCTGAGATTAATATAATCTTATTCTGTAATTCATATTCTGTCTTGTGTCTTACGTTAGTTCTATTGCATAAAGCAGGTTTTTTAATTGGGAATTTGCATATAGCATCATGAGATTCAAACGAGGGAGCATCGTTGAAGTATTGAGCAAAAGGGAGATGCCTTCAGGCTGCTGGTGCTCTGCTAAGATAATCTGTGGTAACGGCCACAACTACACTGTCAGATATGATGGATATGAGGGTAACGCTGATAACGCCGTTGTGGAGAGGGTATCCAGAGATGCCATCAGGCCTTGCCCACCTTCACTGGAAGTTTCAGAGAATTTGGTTCCTGGTGATGTCATTGAGTTTTTAGACAATTTTTCTTGGAAAATGGCAGCAATTACAAAGGTTTTGGGAAAGGAGTGCTTTTTAATCAGGCCAGTCGGATCCTCCCGGCAATACAAGGTCGGAAAATTTGAAATCCGAGTCAGACAGTTTTGGCAAGATGACAAATGGGTTGTGATTGGAAAGGTAATATCATCCTAATATATTTGCTGACGCAATTTATTTATTTGCATTTATCAGTTTTATGTGTCCAAGAGTTTTCAAGTGTTAATAGTAATGAGGACCTCAAAATGTAGTATTTATTAAGGTTAATCAGTAGTGGTACAAAATTTAAGCATCACGAAGAGTGATCAAGTTTTGAATGTTTAAAGTTGGAAATTGCTTTGGTTGTTAGGATAATACTGACAGATTTCTTCTATGTTGTTTTCATGTGCTAACTTTTTGTTTACTTGCTTGTAGGGTTTGAACAATTATGAGAATAAAAAACATGGTGAATTTTTAACTCCAAAGTTCAATCAACATTCATATCGTAAAGCTCAGAAGAATGAAACGCTGACTGAGTCCTCTCATCTGAAGAGAAGATCACCCTACCTGTGTTCTCAAGATGAAGCATATGGTGGACCTGCTGAGAAGTTTAGAGCTGTTGAAAAAGAGGGAAGGTGTCTCCGAGTAATTGCTGCGAATTTCTCTACATTTTCTGAACAGGTAGATGTTGCTTTACCAGGACGTATGCAGGGTGGAAAAGATATACGTGCTTCTCTTAACAACAGAAAAAGTGTATTGTCTGATGTGGATGTGGAAAGGAGGAAACCAAGTGGTGATGTTGGGCGTTTGTTTGCTGTGAACCTAAATTTGAATGATGCTGATGGTGTCACATGCTCTGTTGGTAGTTGTAGTATCGATAGCAAAGATTTCATTAAGTTGCCTCCTCCTGTTTCTGCTAGTTCTACTGAAGATTTTGATGATCAGTTTTCCGATGCCGAATCTTCTTTTCAATTGAGATACGAGGAAGGAAACTCTCTCCTTCCTGCTAAAGAAGAATTGGCAGATGAGATCCATAGGTTAGAGTTGCATGCTTACCGTTGCACGATAGGGGCATTACATGCGTCAGGACCTTTAAGTTGGGAACAAGAAGAATTGGTGACGAATCTTCGCCTTTCACTCCATATATCAAATGATGAACATTTAATGGAGCTTAGAAACTTAATTTCTGGAGATACCAGCATTCATATTAGATGACAGGAAAACTGGAACTGCGTGTTTTGATTCATATTTTTCTTGTAGCTGTAGAATCTCGATGAGCATTTTCATTAATGACCTCGCTCCACTGTAAGAAACAAGATGAGATGTTTTGATGTCCTTTTATGTTTAGTTACAACACATAGTCCAGTTTCAATGTAGTACAAACTTTTCCAAGTATGGCTATTATTATCATACTCTTCGTTGTGGATCAATTATTCTCTTTTTGCTTTTTTCTGGGGTTGTACGGAATGCATATCAAGATTTAGAGGTTCAACATAAACCTTACCATATGAAGTTTCTGTACTATTCGCATAAGCATTTGGGTATTATCAATGTACATTGCAAACTGCAAGTAACGACTCTGCATGTTCTCGTATGACACATCTGCACATATAGAGTGCTGTATCCTTTCTTTATTTGTTGATTTGTGAGGCTAATTGCTTTCTCTTCGATTCTCTAGTGTGAATAATATGTCCCATGATTTCATTTGTGGACAGTATTAATGCATCCACTGCGTTTTCCAGGGACAAAGTAGGAGGCTTGTCGCCTTGCTTTCAAGTCTCCAAAGATGATCTTGGGGCTTGCCAGCTTTCTATCAGCCTAGACTCGAGGGCAATAGTAAGACAGCTTCTGATGCTGCTGTTCACATTAATATATCTGGTTTCTGCTTTCTTCCATATCAGGCCACCTGTGAGCCTTAGATACTTGTTTTACTGGAGGAAGTAAGACAATCTAGTGGCTGACACAGGATGACCTGAGATGTAGATGCTTGAAAGGTTTTGTTTCAAACCGCTGCCTCAGCACTTCCACTTACAGCTTATTTGACTTACTGATATCAATTTTATTCTCCATCTGCTATAGATTTATCATGTCAGCATACATACATTTCATAATCTTCTTCGTTTCTACGGTTTACAGCTTTTATTGTCTTCTGTTCTTTCTGTTTCCCGTGTCTCTGGAAGTTGTAGCTTGTCGAGTTTTATATTGTAACCTCTTAAAAATATGCAAATAACGTGTGCTACATCTTTGGGGCAATTGGAAAATTGCTTAACATGTTTTCTTTCTTGTGTACCGTAGCTGCATGTTTTTCTTTATTCAAGTAAGTGCCTGAGTACGCCATTCACTGAATTAGCATAGGGTAGTAGACCTAATGGTATCTTATGCTGATCAGCAGGAAATGTGTGATTTATTTCTCGATATTCTTCCTCAGCTTCTGATTGGGAGTGTTTTAATCCCTAATAACCAACTTTCCAAGTGTAAACAGTAAGAAGATATCCATGTCCTGATATATAGGCCATCTGACTGCCCTACAGCTCTTCAATTCTTTGTGATTATTGTTGTATTTGTTTGTATCTTTGGAAGTTATCAGACAGGTTCTGTTGCATTGCATTGCACTGCATAAGCTTTAGTGACTGGATCAATCATCCATTTCGACCAGAGTGCAGAGCGATGGACACTATGTTCCAAGAAAAAGCGAATGGATAACTTCTAATAAAGCATCCATTCACGCTTTTGCTTGCCCCTGATTGACAAAAATTGTCAGCCATGTCCTTGTACTGCAAGATTTGAACTGAGGTATGCTTGAAAGGGTTAAACTTGATACCGAAGGAAACAAAGTTATCTTTTTCTGTTAATGGTATTTGGATTGTCATTGACCTTAATCATTAGCTTTGTCCTTGTCAAGTTTCTGTAGAAAAAAACATTACTTGTTTTCGATGTCCTTCGTGGTTTGAAAGTAAAATTCGTTTTTACAGTTTTCTATGGTTCCTGCTGCAGATGCTTTCGACGCAAACTATATATCAGCTCGGAACAAATCCGGTGTGGAAACCAAGTAGCCAACAATGAGAAGCATTCGCTTTTGGTAAAGATTTGAGGATTGCTCAATAGTATACATGCTCATGAATGCGAGATGCAAAACATACTAGAATCTCGAGCATGGAACGCAAAATTTGATTGTCTCGGCAATTCCAAATGATTCAGCTAAGTATTGTCACCCCCTCTGGCAAGTCTGGCATTGTGTGAAAGTTCATTTGTTTCTATATCAGCAGAGCATTCACTGTTGCTGCATGCCATACCATGAGACCCTACTTCGTTTGTATCTCGTGAAAATTTTCAGAGAATGCGACAATTTTTTCTGGTTTTCATATCTTGTGAAGATTTATGGGAATCGAGATCCTTTCCGGATCTCCAAGTCTGGAGCCCGCGGATCCAAGGATTTGGGTCGTTCAAAGGGGGGAGAGAGATCCAGACGTTTGATTTGTGTGGAGTGGCCAGTGAGATACAAAAATAAGGGCCATAGGATTTTAAATGAGTAGTTCAGATTTTTTAATCTGCGGACTCCGGACACAAAAATCCGAAGAGGCTCTCCATCCGATTTATAGGTTCCAACTTTAGGGGTCCGAAGTTCCGAATTATTCGTACATGCAAAACGGGACTGTTTTTATGGCCCTTAAGACAAAAGAAAAAACAGTTTAATGGGCCCAAGTTTTTGTTTTCTTGCTAAAGTAGGTTCGGACTTTTGGGTTTCATGTATTCAATATTTGGTTGCAAGTTGCAACCCACCATCAGAAGTCATATTAAATTTTGATAAAGTGATGATTTGATGGCATTGGCATGTAAGAAAATTTAGGGTAAAGTACAAAAAACTACCTCAACTATTGATGTCACGACACTTTCATACTTCATCTTTTAAAATTGACAATGTCATACCCCATCTTTAGAATTTGGTCCAATGTTATACCTGTCATTACTTGACAGTTTACTTTTCAGTTAAATGCTGACGTGGCTTGATTCGAGGCCCATTTTCTATTAAAAATTTATTAAAATATTATTAAAAACTAAAAAAAAATTCATTTAATAATTTTTTAAAACAATAAAGAAAAGTAAAAAAAAAAATTTAAAAATAAAAAATCCCTCTTCGTCCCTTCCTCTTCTCTCTCTCTCTCCCTCTCCCCATCTTCATCTTCTTCCCAGATTAATCTTCAACCAAAAAAAAAAAAAAATTGAAAACCCATCAACACCCCCCGCCCAAAGAAGAAGAAGAAGAGGAAAAAAAAAAAAGCAACCCAACCTAGTTCGCCCCCCAACCCCCGATAACCCAGAAAGAAGGAGGAGGAAGAACAAGAAAAAAAAAAAAAAAACCCCAACCCAACCCAGTTCGTCCCCACCCCCCCCCCCGGGCCGCCGCAACCCATAAAGAAGAAGAAGGAGAAGAAAAAGGAAAGAAAAAAAAATCCAAAGCGAACCCAGTTCGTCCCCCCTCCCCCCCCCCCCCCAACCTAACCTCTTGCCAACCCCAAATCCACCACTCTCATCCATTCTCCACATCCTCTTCCACACCCATCCTCCACCTTCTCCGCGCACCCATCTTCTTACCGACATGATCTGGGTTTTTTTTTTTTTTTTTTGGGTTGCAGGAGGGAGAATAGGGGGTGGGGGAAGACCAAGGAAGAAAATATCGGTAATATCGGAAATATCGGTAGTCCGAAAACACGGAAATATCGATGGAAATATCGGGATAATATCGATATCGATAAAAATTACATGGAAACCACGGAAATTGTAAGAAAAACTTGGAAATTTTTATTGAAACTTTGCAGGATGTTTATTTAGTCAATTATCTATTAGTTTATCACAAAAAATTAGAAGGAAATGCATTGCATGGTGGATTTAACTAATTTAAGTTGATTATATAGCGAGCTGGCAAACATTGTGAGTGTAGAAAAATATGTAGTAATTAATTAATGAAAGAAGTTTAAACACACACCATAATCATTTATATATAATGAATTAGTACAATATTTTTACACTTTTATACATTGCATGGTAAGATACATTAGTGACTTATTCTTATAACGGGTACATATCAATTTTTTTATAAAAATTAATGGGTACAAACTTATTCTTATTTTATTTTTTTATATATTTGAAATGTTTGAATTGAAAATTAATTAGGAGTTTAATAAGGATGTGAGTATTAAAAACTCTAAATCAATTACTAATTTTTGTTATGAAAGTAATGTAACTTACATGTAATTCATTAATGCTAGGGACTTTGATCAAAATATAAAAACTGATAAGATCTTAGTCAATAAACATTAGAAACTAGGGATCAGATACTAATTTTTCTTTATTTTTTAAAAATAACAATAATTTGGTTAATCACATTTTACATCATCTAGTTTCGAGAAAAAAGAAAATTGTTTGGTCAATTTTGAAAGCCATATCAAAATTTTGAGTGATATTTTTATCCAACGTGTTAATACAAAATCATATAGACATAGTACATGATTAGGTAATTATAGGTTTTTAATTAAATTGATGATGTAGTAAATATAAGACTAACGTAGAAACGTCACTTCCACCATTTAGACTAAATTGTATGATTGGTTTTCCTTTCATGTTATTAATTTGAATAGAAGCCGAAGCTCTACGATGACGAGTTTTTGTTCATATGTGCTAGTTTGGTTTCCCTCATTAGCCCACAAATAAATCGAATACCTATCATATCATTATTTTGGCGAACAGTCAAATTAGCAAATAACCAAAAGACGTATATCAATATGATATTTTTCTAATGGTGCAATGTGAGAAAATTAGTACTCATCGTTAAACTCATTCCCCAACCTAAAATGTATAAATCAAAATAGCCTTAAATTCTTTGGTGGGTAATTGAAAAACTAAATTGCAACTCGTATAAGTCCAAAAGATCATTACCCATAATAAAAACGCAATTTTGTTGGATAAAGCCGGTGGTTGTTGAATGGGAAAGTGAAGAGCTGCCTCAACTTCGGCAGCAGAAGCCTCCCGGAGTTTCTCCATTGAATTTTTGTCCATGCTGCCAAAAATAATGATGTTTGGCACAAATTATGAGCACGTAGCTCAGTCAAAGTACTTGGTAGAGAGGGAAAAGAGGATATGGAATAATACCTCAAGCGAGTTGACGAGGGACTCTCAGGTTCAGCATAAGAAGATGATGTTCCAAAAGTCCTTGCGTTAGCATGATGTCCCACATCGCCCAAGTGACAAAGAAGAAGCTGGTGGAGGGCTTATAAAAAGGACCAGAAGGCCACACGATAAAGCATAACCCCATATCGCGATATTATTGCTTATATCGCGATATTATCGATAATATTGCGATATTATCGATATTATCGCGATATATGATCGATAATTAAGGGATAAGTGTGAAAGTATCGTTGGCTTAAAAAAACGATAATATCGGCGATATTTCGCCGATATTATCGATATTTTGTTCCTTGGGGAAGACAAACTAAGGGTGGGTGCGGGGGAAGACAAATTGGAATTTGTTTTTTTTTGTTTTTTGTTGGGGGTTACAGGTGGGGGGGGGGGAACGATGAAGATGGGGAGAAAAGAGAGGAGGAGGGGGGAAAGGGAGGGACGAACTGAGGGCTGTTTTTTTTTTTTTTTTTTAACTTTTCTTTATTATTTTAATATTTAATAAATATTAAATATTTTTTTTAGTTTTTAATAATTTTTTAATAAAAAGTGGGTTCTGAATCAATCAACGTTAGCATTTAACTGAAAAGTAAACGGCCAAGTAACGGAAGGTATAACATTGGACCAAATTCTAAAGATAAGGTATGACATTGTCAATTTTAAAAGATGAGGTATGAAAGTGTCGTGACACCAATAGTTGAGGTAGTTTTTTGTACTTTACCTGAAAATCTAATATGCACACGGTAGCAAAAGTTTTTGGATAAAATTAATTTCAAATATGAAAAAGAAAAGCTCATAAAAATGTTTTGAAATGATATCAATTGGGTAGGCAACATTTGGACAAAGGGCAATTTTGCACATCTTTACAACTCCTATTATTCATGACTGTGGAGCAAAAAATAATCGCAAAAATTATAGAGGTGACACGTGAATTTTTGGACAAGTAAGGCGAGATTACTCTCTAGGCACACCGGAATTTTTACACGCATGCAACAAACAATGACGGTTCAATTAAGGAAAAGTCAAAGGTGATCTTTATGGAATTTATTCAAATTCCCCTCATCACTCCCTCATTGATTTTATTCAATAAGGTAACTTCCAAAACTTCCTATTTAATTTGGGATAATTACCATGATAAAAATATTATTTCACATAATATCTTGCAATAATTCATCCAATTCCACCATATATGACTGGCCATTCTTCACCCAAAGGGTCAGCCACCCTCCTATAAATATCACACTTATTTCACTAAAATGCTAAGTCATTTGCTACCTACAAACTCTTAAATACATTCTTTTCGTAATTCTAACTTTTGTATCGGTGATTCTTCGGCCAAAATCCCTCAATTCATTATGGGAGCGTGAGGTTTTTGGTCTTAATAAAATGTGTTATTTCTTTGTAGGTGTATTTTTGTCAAAGAAAGAGACGGCGGAAATTTGCATCCATAATAGTTACGTGGATATCTGAACTAACTCATGTTGAAAATTTGCGGATGAGTTGTGGTTGGCACTCGAACACAAACCTAGCTAGTTCATCCCAAAATGCGTTTAGGCGTCTACTTTTCTTAGTAAGGATTGGGTTGATTGGCTTAGATAGTGTAACTCACTAAATTCAACATAGTCGCATGAAGAAGTGAAAGCTACCCCTTTCAGAAAGATGATAGAATTAGTCGGGATAATTTTCCTTTATATCTACTGCATTTTGTACCTTCAACTTATATTTAAAAATTATCATTCATTCTTTCTCTAATTTCGATATACTTTGAATCTATCGAGTCAATATAATCTATCTAAATTTATCTTCTCTAACAAACGCAGCCTCGAATAAAGCACAAAAAGCAAAAATATATTACCCAGAACGATTCGATGACTTTGAGTGGTTGGTACTTCTACGATCTTATTCACACAACGTGTTCGACTACAGTGATTACAGAAAGCTGCACTAAGCTAACCACATGGCCATCTCTAACTTTATATTCGCATCCTTCATATAGTTCATATGTTGATGAAAATTTGCTATGTTTCTTAATTTCTCGTCTCCTTCCTTGAGAGGCAGTAATTAGATAGAATCTTAGGAGCAAAAGGGCAACCAAACAGGTGGGTTTGTCACAAAAATGACCAACAAAATTCGAAGGGGTCATTCTTTGCAAAGGCGTTTTTGGATTAACAAATGAGTGTTGCATTTACGTGGCTCCACCAAATCCTCTCCAATTGTCTCACTATCTATCTCTTCATGATTGTCAATCCCATGTGATTTTGCCTCTCCCACAAATGGAGACATAGAGGAGATGTATGTCTCATTGATAAAGACTAGCGCGCAACCAAACTTTGATAAGAGTTACTGCAACTTATTACGATCAACTTATGAACGTCGTCGTTAGGTAAATAAGAAGACTTAGTTAAACCGAACACCAAGAACAAAAAAACAAAACTAAAACTATGAAGTTGCACAAACAAATTCATTTTTGAGTTACTGCAATTTATCCCGACTCATGAACTTAACTTATCAACAAATGGCCTGGTTGGGGGTGCTATGTGGTTGCACCATCTTATCAGTTATCACCTTCAATTTGGACAAGAATGTTACACGTTGTCTTTTGAATGTCCAACACAAACTTTAGTTACTTTCACCTA